AGAAAAAAAAGGGAGGACTGATAGATTGGGGGGTCTCGGGGAGTTTGATTTGTTTGTGGAATTTTCGGCTCCCTTTCTTCAGGATTGTGGCAGGGTGAGGGGAACGGGGGGGGGAGGGGGAATAAGGAGCAGGGGAACAAAGTAGTGAGGTGAAAAAAGGTAATAGGAGGGGCCCCCGGGAAGGCCACAGACTAACAAAATACTGAGGGACCATGAGAGACAGGAAGCTGGTGCTTGGGATTGGAATGAGGGGTTGAGTTGGCGAGTAAAGTGGGGGGAGGGTCATGTTGGAAGAAAGATGGAGAGGAAGGAGAAAAGAGGGGGATGAAGCTGTTGTGGATGGGAAGAGAAAAAAAGGGATTTTAGGTGCTGATTTGAGAATATGACACTTTTGCACCAGCACTGAAGTGGACACCACGATGCAAGGTGCTTCACAAACAATGCATGAAATATTACAAGGATGCCAGGTGTGTCCAGAATGTTGAGTCTTGAGGAAGTGGAAGGACTTGAATCACGCTTGGAGGTAAATGAGAAGGGGGTGGACAGAGTGGGAACCCGGGCCAAGAGGAAATGAGGGGTGGAGGAGTAGGAGGAGGAGGCTAGAAAAGGGGGCTGTGTAGCTTGACTAAGGATTGTGTAAGACAGCACTACGCCAGAGACTGATAAGGTGCAGCTGTTGAAGGAGCGAAAGAGCGAGAGAGCAGCGGGAAGAGTGTGCGAGACACAGAGATACTGATGACACAAACGAGCACATGTTCGCATTTATCGGGCCGATGTGTTCAATAAAATCCTTTCTGTCAGCCAGTGCTGCTCAGTCCCAAAGACATTTTTCAAAACTTGGACAAACGTCAAGCCCGACATTTTTGAGTGTAAGAAAAGAAACCCTGCATATTTTGCTATGAGGTGTTTCTTTTAAGGGTGGTGCTGGGATTTGTTGGGGCGGTTTGCAGACCTACGGAGGGAGGAAATGTTTTATGTCTTTCCCTTTCCCCTCGATCAGCTTTCATCCTCGTGCCTGCTACACACAACAACAAGCATTCCTCAAATCCTGCTCAGAGTTTGGGACAGATGAGGCCACAAGAATCTAGACTACGACAGCCACCCCCTGAGTGTGGAGTTTACATAGGAATTCAGTAGGTGCTCTAACCCCTAAATACTTTTTTCTAACGTGCAGGAGTGTGAGAATTCAATTTCTTTTCTATTTTATTCTGGATGTTGGGGGGGTCTATATTTAACCCTAACCGGTCAGTGTTCCTTCCTGTCTTGGGTGTGTGTTTGTAGTGAATGCCTGTGGCTCAAGGCCTCAGTATTTGTCATGGCCAATCTAAACTTTGTTGCTCATGACAAATTACAGGGAAGCAAGACAAATACATATAAAACCACTGTCACAAAGCCAGGTCTCTATGTATTTCTAGAGTCAAAAAGGCACAAAAAAGAGCAGAACTGGGGTGGTTACAAATTGGACTTTTTCTCTAAACAGTTGGTTGAATGATAGAACTAACCTAAAGGTCAAGTGTGTTACATTAAGGAGGATCTACTGGCAGAAATGGAATATAGTATTCATAGGTAT